AAACAAACAAGTGGCCTTCTTACAACAAGGTCTCTAGATCCCTCAGGGTAGAAAGCATTGGGCATAAGTGTCACCACACAGTATGGGAGGCAAAACACCCTTGTCCTACATTACTTGTTCTACAGACCTTCAACTAAGCATGGGAACTTCCAGAAGTTTCATAGATCCAAAGCTAACTTATTGTTTATAATGTATCATGTTCTATGGCGAGACAGGTTTAAAGGTACTGAAATAATTTTGCCTTGCTTAGTAAACACTCTCTGCCTCGACCTCCCCCAGGGAAGTTATCCCAAGCCTTTCTCTGGATCCCTCTGACCTCCTTATTCAGTATCTAGAGGGTTAATACCTGGTTAAGAAGGGGGTTTTGGAATGCAGTTCCAGGAGGCAGGACCACTCTGGTTGATCTCATCTCTTACTTGAGTATAAGTTAGAATCATGACATCCTTATAGTCACCCCTTTGAGTAGAATAGTCTCAGAGGCTTCCAAACAAATCCATATAACTACCTCACACTTCGCAACTTTCTGTGGAGCCCTTACATAGAACCAGACCCTCTAACTACCTGTGGGGAAGTGAGCCTAGATTAGAGATCCCATGAAGCCTCCAGAGGACCAAGCTTAAGGGTGAGGTGGGTGAGTAGCTTCGGGATATGCCGCCTCAGAGAGAGCTATCCATCCAGAACTTCAGAATTGAGAAGGATACAAATGTCAGCCTCAGAGACAAACAGCAGCCGTGTCTGCTATTAGTCCTCAGCTTTAAGTGACATATTCAGAGCACACACTGCTCTGATACCATCATTAGAGTCCTGGCCTCAACTCTTTAGAGGGACACAGTTCAACCCCCAGCACAGGACAAGTACTGGTTTGCAAGGAAGAGGATGTAAATGCCTGTCCAACATTGTCCCTCACATGTCCAGGGTCTCTTCAGGGATTTCTTCAGGAAGAGAGCTGTTTTTCCTTTTCCTTACTCATCATGGGAGGCAGCAGAATGCAGCGATGTCATCATAGCTACTCACTGAGCTGACACATGCATGGTTGGACGGTGAAGTGCCCCCTATAAACTGCTAACAACCCTAGGTGTTTCCAGCCCTTTGTTAGAAGGAGAGAAGACCAAATGTGTTGATGGAAGGAGGTGACGCAGTGGCCTGCTCTAGCGGGGGCTCCCATACGACCTACCTTGCTGGGACACAGGGCTCCACAGAAAGTTGTGAGGTGTGAGGCCAGGGGAGTTACACTTTGTAATAACAAACTCACCTAGAACTTTCCAAAAATTGTTCAACCTTCACATCTCTGGCCTTTCCGTTCCGTTGTGAGGGTGCCAACATCTCTCTTCTATAGACACGACTTCCGTTGTGAGGGTACCAGCATCTCTCTTTCACAGACGTGACTTTGTTGTGTCAAATAAGATCATCTGGCCCTATGTTAGTTAATTTTTGTCAGTTGGGCACAAAGTAGAGTCACCCAGGAAGAGGCAATCTCGATCAAGGAAATGTCCCTTTCGGACTAGCCTATGGGCAGATCCTCAATTAAGGAAATGCCCTTATCAGGCCCAGTCCACCATGGGTGGTGCCATCCCCTGGACAGGTGGAATTGTACACAACCCGTTCCCTGGGTTATATAAGAAAGCAGCCTGAGCAAGCCATGGAGCAGCAGTCCACCATGTCTTCTGCTTCAGTTCCTGCCTCTGGGTTCCTGCCTTGACGTCCCTTCATGATGGACTGTAACTAAACCCTTTCTTCTCTAAGCTAAAGTTGGTATCAGAGAACGAGCTGTTACAAGAGCACACCTGGCCCTGTTCCTCGGGGGAGGGTTCTGGAAGTATCTGTATTTTTTTTTTTTTTCTGGAAATACCATCAAGGGCTTGGAGCTTAAGGAGCTGTTCTGTGGGAACATGGACGATAATGCTGAGAGCAATGCAGATGGCGTGTGAAACTGCAGAAGGAAGCAAAGCCTCTCGGGGCTGTTAATACTTTGAATTGGGAATCTGTGGCTCTTGGCTAACAAGAGACCAGCACCCCCGAAGTGAAATCTTTGCTTTACTGGGGCAACAAACGCTGGTTATCTAGGGCTGAAAAATCATCTGTGACTAAGAAGAGACCAGCACCACTATGATGAGACCCTGGAAGTATGTCCTCAGGGTCAGGACTCCAAGACTGTGGTCCGGAGGGGCCAAGGCTGTATATCAAGGTAGCCAATGAACTTGGTGATGTGTAAACGCATCCCATACAGGACAGAATCATTGGTATAGACGTTACAGGACTGAAGGAGTCATGGGGGAGGCTGAGGCATGGTACTGTGAGGTGCCAGGAAAGGTCACTGGTGAAGGGGCAGCCTCAGTTGCAGTGGAAACCCAAGGTGCTGAGCCTTGACACCATGTGGCAGGGTTGGAGTCCCGGAAGAAGCCAAGAGAGGCCATTGGTGAAGGTACAGCTTCAGTTGTCATGGAGAACCTTATTTCTTTCAAGGTGGTTTGGGTTGTATCACCTGGAGGTGAGAGAGAACTGGAGGGCTCTTCTTGTGGAAGACACCATCCCTGGAAACCAAGCTATACTAATTTGAAACAAACCACTCCTGGGGAGAACCCAACTTCTCTGAAGTACTGCTTTGAAACATCTGGCCTGCAGATGTTTTAGAAGAGGCTAAGTTGTGGTTTCTTAATGTAAATGGTTTTGGAAGCAGTGTTTCCCTGCCTTGTCTGACTCACTCTTCCCTTTCTGCCCGGCCCCTAGAGGCATTTTACGTTCTGTAGCCAGGACAAGAAATTGCTTAGCCACTGGGATGGAGTCCCCGAGACTAGATATGGTCCTCACTGTCATCACTGACGACGTAGTTTATGCTTTTCTGACAGTGGATTTTCTCTCCAGGAGTGGACTTTTACTTCCGGAGCAAATGAGTGTAATGCTCTCACTTGCCCTCCTCCGGCTGGCTCCTGAGAGCACAGCATGTAGTTCCCACCGTTTGACAGCCTTACCCCCAGCCCAGCTGCTCTGCCCTGGGAGGAGTCTGCATCCACAGCCTTAGCCCAGCCCAGTTGCTCTGCCCGGTGTGTGGGGGGCACATCCACAGCCTTAACCCAGCACAGTGGCTCTGCCCTGGGAGGGGTCTGCATCCACAGCCTTAGCCCAGCCCAGCAGTTCTGCCCTGGGAGGGTTGCATTCAAGTGTCGCACCTGATAGCTCTTATGCCTCCTCTTTCATTACTGCCACTGTCTCTCATATTGGGCCTAACCTATGCCATCCCTATCTGCTTTATAGCCAGTTCATCTCATTTACCTCTGCCACCACCCAGTGAATCTCCCTAGCCCAGTGTTTGGTCAAATTGCAACCCTATTCGGAAACGACAGAATCTGCCACTCATCTGAAACCTACAGCCACCTTATCTGTGCCTTTTCTTTCCTCTTATCCTCTCTTACCTTGGATGGCAGGTACCTTTCCACACATCTTAGCCAGAGGCCTTTCTGCACAGTTCAAGTTTCTGCTAAGAATTGGGCCTCCATGAAGACTTGAGTCGTTCCTGACAGCTTGGGTAAATTCCCAATTGCAATGTCCTGTCTTTTCCAGATTGACTTGCTCCAAGTTAAGGGGCTATACTGGGTCTCCCTGAAATCTTGCTTTGTCCGAATGTCTCTAAATTTCTACATATCCGTATCTTCATCCTTTCCCCCCATTTGCATTTCACTGTCAACACCCAGACATTTGGAACCACCCACGTGTAAGCTTGCACACGTTGTGACAGTCTACGATGAGCTTGGTACGGACTGCAGGACTAGATCTCTGCATGCATGTAGCTCTAGTGGCTTTGCGGATGCCTAGTCCCCTGGCTTGTGATTTCCTGTTTACCAACCATGTCTCCCATCACACCGAGGGCTTGGGACTGGCATGGGCCTTATTCTCTCTGTTGGCAGTGCCTGCACAGTGTCTCACACACTGCTCAGCCAATATCTGCTAAAAGACAGAGAAGAGGGCACCTTCTCTCCCATAGTTAGTTGTGAATCACCCCGCAAAGGGACTTCCTAAATTGCTTCACCTACTTCCTGGGCCCTACATATTGCCCCATGCTTCAAGTCCTGGAAAGTCCCTTCCTCTTGTTGCTTGGAAACCCGTAAGTGTCTAGAGGCCTAAATCTGAAGCTGCTTCCCCTTGGACGGGGCAGTGAGACCACACCACACACGTCTGACCTCAGGCATGCTTACAGACACAGCTGGAATGAAGGATGGTTGCTCAGGGTCTGGACAAGCTTGGTTATAGGGTTCTTCGCTTTTCTAGGGTGTACAAGGCTTCATGTAAGCAAGGGCCTGAAGAATTAGAGACTTCCAAGCTCATGCTTCCTCCTTTCCCTCAGCCACAGATACAAAATCACCAGTCCTGAAATGTCCCAGTCACAGTCTGAGCAGGGGTGTCTGGAATATAAGCAACATTTTTTTAAAAAATTAATAACTTGCTTTGTGTGGAAGTGTTGTGTATTTGTGTGAACATGCCATGACACATGTTTAGAGGTCAGAGGACAACCTGTGGGAGTCTGTTCTCGCTTCATCATGTGAGTCTGAGGTACTGAACTCAGGTCATCAGGCTTGGTGGCAAAAGCACCTTTATCTACTGAGATATCTCACTGACCCTGGACATTTCCTTTCTCGACCTGGGTGGTAGGTAGTTACCAAATATTTGCTTGGGAGTCGGGACTTCCAAATTATAATTCATTAAGCTGCACATTTTTATTCTGTGTATTTTTCTGAATATATGTTGTATTCAATTTAAGAAGACAAGAAAGGAAGGAAGGAAGGAAGGGGGGAGGAAGGAAAGAGGGCATTCTTTCCTGACTCCAAGCCCCTAGTCCAGCCAATCACATTGAATAGGTATCCGCCTGCACCTGCCTCTGCTGAACTGTTGAGTGCCGGTGCCCCAGCCCCACCTCTGAATTGTTGTCATTTTGATGAGGAGCCTGGAGGCCCAAGAAGGAGAGTGACTCAAACTGGGACTGAAAGTAAGGGTGGGGCTCAGTCGAGCTGGACATTTTACTTGAGGGAACCGTGTGAACGAACATGGCTGAGTGGAACTGGGTTCGCGTGCTTGGGTTTGAAGCAGCAAAGATGCCCTGCTATTGGATATGGGTAGGCATTTGGAGGTATGTCTGGCTTAGAGGCCCTGATTTGCTGCCACAACCTCAAATATTGTTAGGACAGATGTTACTTTCAGGGAAATAGAATACAGGACTATGGGTTTTTGTGCAAAAGCTGACATGAGATTTTCTCAGTTTGGTTTGTTGTTTTGCTTAAACCACAAGCCCACATGAACTCACAATTTCTATCCAAGACAGGCAGGAAGTTGCATCTGCCAGACACATGACATGGCACCTGAGTTCCTGAAGGCGCACAGCGTGGCACCCGAGTTCCTGCAGACGCATGGCGTGGTATCCGAATTCTTGCAGGCACATGGCATGGCACCCAGGTTCCGACAAACACATGGCGTGGCACCCGAATTCCTGCAGACGCATAGCAGGTCACCCGAGTTCCTGCAGACGCATGGCATGGCACCCGAGTTCCTGAAGACACATTAACTCTAACCCTGAATTTCAGCCCACCTCGCTGTGCAGATGCTTCCAAGACCAGCATTAATGAACACAGTAGAAGCTAGTGCACAGGGAGGGCCCCAAGAACCGTGAACTGCAGCAACGGCAGGGAGCTGTGATGAGCTACGAGGTAATCCACTCCCACCCCCAGCCTGGGACCTTGGAATTCTGAATTCTGCCCACTATCACCGAGCTGGGTCTTTGTCTGGACTACGAATGAGGGCACTGTGAAATGTTCGAAGCGTCCCTGAACTCCAGCTAGGGCTACAAAGTTTACAAAAGAGGCTAGTGATTGAGAGTCAAATCAGATCTAGCTCCTTTACAGCCAAAGAGGGACTGTGATGAGGGGTGACACCCAGAACCAAGGAGAGGTCGTAGCAGCAGTGTGCTGGTGACAGTCACCGTCCAGGAAGATGGACTCTGCCCATCACTGTGACCAGTCTTTTCTTCCTTCATTTAAGCAACGGCCCCCGGATGTGGATGCTGTTGTAGTCCCATTATATCCACGATGAAACTAGGTGCAGGGGGACCTGAAGTGCTTTAGAAAATCGCATGCATGGTCAGTGCAGAGCTGGGCGTTCAGGCAACCTTACTGGGGAGCCTGCACAGTGGGAGCAGTGTGGACACCGAGAGGGGCCTCCATCATGAAAGGGAACCCAGCAGTCCCATGATAGGAGCGACTGGCTTAAAGACCGTCTGGTGGATTTTGATTGGACTGTTTTCTCCTTAAACAGCCTTCAAATTTGGCTCCACGGGCAACTTGTCTTCAAGAAAAGAGGCCGTGACCCGCCAGCATGGCGGCTGGAGTTTGCATTAGTAAATGAATAAACTAGCTGCCTGAGTCTATACACACGTCTGTCAAGGGGAGCCCACTCCAGAATGGGGCCCACTCTGTACCAACTTAATTGAGATTCTGAGTGTGCAGGTGCTGGCTCCAGCCCTGGTGCCAAGGAGCCCTCTCCTGGACTCCTCTCGGCAGAACTGGCCCGCCTTCCTAAGGGACGGCCTAGCTGTGAATTTGAGCTGCTTGGTCAGGTGGCCAGGGTCATCTGGACAGAAGGCTATGACGGTGCCAGGTTCCAGTGTGTGTTCCAAGTTCCACGTTCTGTATCAGACTCCAGGCGCCAGACCAAAGGCGGCTCCTAGCAGGGAACCGGTAAGGGCTGGCCCCGTGTGTTTGTTCCTCCACACACATGCCAGGATGCCCTACATCTCGAACTCCCCAGCCTTTCATCCACAGTGGCTCCAAATGCTGGTGATAGCAGAGTCACTCAGGGAGTCTTTTAAAACCGATTTCATCGACACGTCTCATGTAGGAGCAGGGATGTTTTGTTCTATTGACAAAATAGTTTAGTTTTCAAAAGTATATCTCAAAATAATACGAGATGAGTTCCATATTGTTCTTTTTGGATAAAAGTTATTTTAGATAGGAACTTACTATGTGGCTCTGGCTGGCCTGGAACTTACTATAGACCAAACTAGCTTCAGACTGATGGAGCTCTGCCTGCCTCTTGCTCCCAAGTGCTGGGATTGGAGGCATGCACCACCATGCCCAGCCTTTTTGAAAAATTTAAAATTACATGAATGCATATCAGGCCGCATGCTTAAAGGACTTACTAGAATTGGTTTATCCTTCTACCATGTGGACCCTAGGGGTCAAACTCAGGTTTTCAGATTTGGTGGTAAGACCTTTACCCTCTGAGCCATCTCACCAGTCCTGATTATGCCTTTAATATCCTTTTAATTCAGTTATTCTTTAGCTCTAAAATGTATTTAGTTCTTTGTATATTCTCTCTCACGAATATTCCCATTTTGTATAGGCATTTTCCTGAGCTCGATGAGATTTTTTGAGTATTTAAAATTAATTTATTCTTAGACAATTTCATCTGTGTATATAATCCATTCTGACCCACGGAACCCTCCACCATTCCTTAGTCTCCTCCCACACCCCCCCTCTTCCATGCTTCCCTTCCTCCCATCAAATCTTCACCATACTTGGTCTTTTTGTTTTGCTTTTGCTTTGTGACCAATGGGTTCAATCAGGTCACTCATGAGGACATGGGCATGGAACAATGTCACACTAGTCACTGGTGGATAGCTTTGCTACTGAAGAAAATGCCCTTCTGTCCCCCAGCAGATCAAGACTGCCTTCAGCTTTCCTGGGTGGGGCGGGTACCCCACTAACCCTCATCCATCTGGGATTGGATGTTTATGGATTCAGCCTTTCATAGGGCCTATGTAGGCAACCACAACTGTTGTAAGCTTGTGAGTGTCATGGCCACACCATGCCCATAGGACAATATTTTATGGCCCTAGTAGGAAGGTTTGTTTTTTGTTTTTGTTTTGTTTTGTTTTTTGCTTTCTGGTGTATTTTTTGTTTGTTTGTTTGTTTGTTTGTTTCTGTGGCACTAGGATGAAACCCAGGGCCATGTGCATGTTAGGCAAATGCTCTACCACTGAATCACATTCCCAGCCTGGGGATTTTTCTCCTCCTCCTCTCCTCTTCTTCATTACAAATATTGCCAGAGGAGGATGTGTGTGTGTGTGTGTGTGTGTGTGTGTGTGTGTGTGTGTGTGTGTATATATATATATATATGAGTGTTTGTTGTTATAGAATATTATCTTAATATTACATTTGTTTTAATATTACAGTGTTCCATTTGTTTATGCTGTAGAACGTTTGTCTAATGATGCAAAGATGAATTGCATTCTTTTATGATGCATTTGTTTAACTCTCTAAAGCTTTGTTACTTTGCCTGTCTAAAACACCTCAATGGTCTAATAGAGAGCTGAACACCCAATAGTAAGGCAGGAGAAAGGATCGGTGGGGCTGGCAGGCAGAGAGAATAAATAGGAGGTGAGACCTGGGAAAGATCGAGGGGTGAGAAAGAGGAGGAGCAAGAAAAGAAGGGGGCAGCCACACAGCCACACAGTCACACAGCCAGCACAGAATAAGAAGAAAAGAAAGGAAATACAGAAATAAAGGGAAAACCCCAGAGGCAAAAGGTAGATGGTATAATTGAAGAAAAGCTGGCTAGAAACATGCCAGGCTAAGGCCAAGCACTCATAAGAAATAATAAGCCTCCATGCATTTATTTGGGAGCTGGATGATAAGCCACCCAAAGAGCAAAGGATTACACACAAATGCGTGCACACACACACATACACACCAGTTTGTGAGTATAAGGTCACACATACAATGAGCATTCTTGGAGGTCAGAGTAGAAGAGTTGGGTCTGTGTTTCTTCCTTTACGGGGTCCTGTGGACCACACACAGGTTATTGGACTGTTTGGCAAGCACTCTAGCCCAACACTCATTTTCAGATCCCAGATCCCAGACGATGCTGGAGCTGGTGTAGGATGAGCAGCAGGAATGGAATGAGACTTTCAAAGATGGAGTTCTTAAAGGCCCTCGATGTGATTCAAATATCTACACAAGCTTGGAAACCATTCCTGGTGAAAAGACTACCTTTGCAGGCCCATGCCTCTCCCCAGGGTGCCTTTCTCCTCTGAGCCATCCTCTTAAGTCTTTGTAGTTTTAGAGGCTTTGTGCTGACTTCTGCCTCTGAGCACTCTTCCTGAATCCTGCCTTACCAAGTTCTCATGATTCTCCTCAGTCCTCCCCACCCCATAATGTATCTATTTGGTTTTTAAACCGTTTTTTCAAAATTATGTGCATGAGTGGTTTGCTTGCAAGCATGTCTGTGTGTCACATACGTGCAGTGCCTGCAGAGACCTTAAGAAGGTATCAGATCCCCTAGGTCTTGAGTTACAGGTAGTTGTGAGCTACCATATGAACACTAGAAATCGAACTCAGGTCTTAATGACTGAGCCATCTCTCTAGCCCCACGTCGAGACATTCTTTATGTTTGTGTATTGAGTTGGTATTTCCACTCCATTGACTTTCCATTACCATGTAGAAAATTCTGGACTAGAATGGCCCCAACTTGTGGCTAATAGGTGACAATGAGTGAAAGAGGAATGGAACGGAGGCTGAAGCCTCTGTTACTAGGGAATGAACAGTTTCTTACAAACCTTCTTCCATCCCTGGACTTCCGTTTACTTCTCTACAAGCTGAGGGCTGTAGAGATGGTCTCCAGGGTCTTTCCCTTTCGACTCTGATTAGCCCTTTCCTCCTTTGTGGACTCCACAGGGAGGACATAGAACATTAGCAGCATTCTGGAAACTGCTCTAAATCGAAACCACCAAAGGGTCCACGAGCTCTTCCTCTCCCCACTTCCTGAGAGCAGCCATGGCCCTGAGTGACACCGATGTGCAGAAGCAGATCAAGCACATGATGGCTTTCATTGAACAAGAAGCCAACGAAAAGGCAGAGGAGATCGACGCCAAGGCGGAGGAAGAGTTTAACATTGAGAAAGGCCGCCTCGTGCAAACGCAGCGACTAAAGATCATGGATTATTATGAGAAGAAGGAGAAGCAGATAGAACAGCAGAAAAAAATCCAGCTGTCCACCATGAGAAATCAGGCGCGGATCACAGTCCTGAGAGCCCGAGACAACCTCATCTTGGAACTGCTCGAGGATGCGAAGGTGAGACTCAGTACCATTGTGCTGGATCCAGATGTCTATCAGGAGCTGCTGGACAAGCTCGTGCTCCAGGCCTTGCTCCGGCTCCTGGAGCCGGCGATGATCGTCCGCTGCAGGCCACAGGACCTCCACCTGGTGGAGGCTGCCGTGCAAAGAGCCCTCCCTCAGTACTTGATGCTCTGCCAAAAGCGTTCAGACGTCCAGGTTGATCATGAGGCCTACTTGGCTCCAAATGCCGCTGGCGGGGTGGAGGTCTATAGCAGCGACCAGAAAATAAAGGTTTCCAATACCCTGGAAAGTCGGCTGACTCTGGCGGCCCTGGAAAAGATGCCAGAGATACGAAGGACTTTGTTTGGAGGTAATGCCAATAGAAAGTTCTTTACATAAAGGCGCTGGAAAGGGAAGCTTGGGTTGAACTGCAAAGTCAAAAAAGTCTTAAGTCATTTGAACAAAGGGAACTGGGGGCGGGATGCGTCTTCCTCCTTGGAAGCTGTGCTGTTGATTCCTAGCTTTGAATAGCTAAAAGAATGACACCTTGTTTACTCTGGAATAAAGCACAAATGATGCTCAGAAATCAAATTCTAGTTCATCCATATTTATGACAATTTCTGGGGCATTTTGAAGTCTGTAACGAACGAAGTGAAGATGTCTTCACCTTAGTTGAAATATAAATTGTCCCTTTGACCTATGAAGCCAAGGCCCTAGGCTTATTCAACTATGAAGTGGGTTTTTCCTTCCTGTTTTCAGCTTTAGTATCTTGTGACAACAGTATTAAATGAGGGTCAACATCATGGATGTGCCTGGTACAGCTTCCCCGGAGCTCATGATCAGAAAATCCCCCAGGCAATCAGAAACTGAACCTACAGTTTCATGGCCCTAGACACCGCCTTAAAATTCTTGATCTCTTTGGAGATGAGTAAGAGAAACCTCAGTGGGACATTGGGGTGGGGACCATGGGCTTGGACCCTGCACTTATGAATGCTACAGATTTCGGAAGTCCACCTGTATTTCTAAAGTTCATTCTTGGCCCGTCTCTCCCATCTCCCTGCTGCTCCAAGGTCCAGCCTTCTACATTACCAGCTAACCCTACCACCCCTCCGCCCCTGTATGCATGCTGGGTCAGATATACAAACTCTATGGAGTTCAAGATCAACTGCAAAGATAGACACCTCTGCTCTTAGTTCAGGCACAGTGTGCAGTTCTTGAGGCTGATGGGAAAGAGAACCCAGCAGCTGTCAAACTTTCTGGGCCCAAGTATCACGGCAGGCTCCTCAGGGGCTTCTGAGCAGTCTGGGGTCTGTAAAAAAAAAAAAAAAAATCCCCCCTCCTGCAGGAGTTCTCCCTCAGATAGTCAAGTGGAGATTTGGGCTGTCACTCCCAGACAGCTTGAAGTGTTTTCTGGGAGAAGCCGAAGTACACAGATTGTGGTCATTTTTGTTTACGTGTGGGGATTACTTAGTGACAAATGTCTAGCGGGGCTGGAGATGTAGCTCACCAGTTAAGAGCACTTGCTGCTCCTTCAGAGGACCCCAGCTCATTTCCAGCACCCAGATGGCTCAGAGTCATTCATCTCTAACTCTGGTTCCAGGGGATCCAATTCATTATGACCTGTGCAGGCACCAGGCACACATATGGTGCACATACATACATGAAGCAAACACTCACACACGAACAGTCAAATCTGTGCTAACCTTGCTTTACTTAGGAAGACATTAAGTAGTAAACAAACGTGAAAGGGGGAGAGACTGCAGAAGCACTTCCTGTACCATCACACTTCCCTTACTGTTTAGACAAAGGATTCTTCCCTTTTACTGTGCAGTGGACCCCACAGATTCCATATTTAGTCTGCATGGGCATGTGTGCTCTCAAGTTGAGTCCGTGAGTATGTGCCTTTGATAAAAGGCTTGGAGCAGAAGAAACCCTGGGCACCTTTCCAGAGCAAATGCTGTGCCCTGTCTGGTCAGGACCATGTCCTGAACAGAGAAGCCCATAGGACGCAAAAACAAAACTAGGGCAGGTAAGTAGTAAGTTGGGGTACTTCATACCCCAAGGGCAGAAATCTCCCAAGGCCCCAGGAAAGAGCTGCAATTGAGATTCCAAAAAGCCACTTAGAATCTGCTTCCTCCTAAGTACCATCTCCATGATTTGCCAAATTCTCCTCATAGAGTTACCATGACACACATTGCTTGGCCTTGCTCCTCCCCCTCCTCCTCTCTCTCCGTGGTCCCAGAATACCCCCTTTACCATGTCCCTTCATCCAAACCAAAAGGGCTGTTCAACCAAGCCCTGACATTTCCCCAGTTCCCGGTCACAAGGACCACGCCCCCTTGAGGGTTCCACACGAGAGGCCTTTATTTCCTGGTGTCACTTTCCTACCTGTCTCGTGTCCCACACACTGCCTTCCAGACAGGGGTCATCTTTGCTCTCCTTTGTAACCCCGCTGCCTGTGACTGGTGCTGCAGCTGGTGTTGGTTGACACAGAGGCTCTGGGTGAGTAGCCGTGGACATTCTGGATGGCGACTCCTGGGTCTCTCCTAGGCTGGTTTGTCAGAAGGGAATGGGATGTGGCACAAGGGTCTGGGGAAGGGCGTCTCCACGGTATTTCAGAATCAGAGCGTGACAAGAAAAACCTTCTCCGCTGCTCCTGGGAGAAAGGACTGTAACAGGGCTGCTGAGCAGGGCAGTGGTGGCACACGCCTTTAATCCCAGCACTTAGGAGGCAGAGGCAGTGAATCTCTGTGAGTTTGAATCCAGTCTGTTCTACAGACAGAGTTCCAGCACAGCCAGGGCAACACAGAGAAACCTATCTCAGGAAAAAGAAAAAAAGTTGCTGAATTTGAGGAAGTATGGCTTCTGCCTTTCTTCTCTTCTGGCCTGAATGCATCTGGGGGCTTCTGCACCTCTTCCTTCCATGGGCAGGGCCTTGCTTTGCACCTGTGTGCACAAACTGGGGTGCTCCAGAGGGCGTGTGCCTAACCAGTGTCCTTCACAGGTGCCATGGGAAATGCATATTCCAGCTTCGAATCTGCACGGCTTCAGGACTAACTTCGCATGGGTGGTGGACTGCCTCATCATGCTGTGGAGTTGAGAGCTGTTTGTGCCCTACAGCAGGGTACCCGAGGGTCTTTGCTTTAGAAGCGCTCGCTCGCCTAGGCATTTGGTTAGCAGGTATGCACTCTGCATTGGTACTCACATCCTACCCCGAAGAAGGAGTGTTCTTGGAACAAACTGTGAGAACCCCCAAGCAGGCACAGCCCTTCTCTCATTAGCACTTCCTCCTGAGGTGTGAGGCAAGCTGTTGGCTGCAAAGCAGAGCAGCTGTGCCTAAAGTGGCAAGGATGCTGTGGAGACTCCTCCCACTGAGGGGAGCTGGATTCTGTGGAGACTCCCCCCACTGAGAGGAGCTGGATGCTGTGGAGACTCCTCCCACCGAGAGGTTTGGATGCTGTGGAGACACCTCCCACCGAGGGGGTTGGATGCTGTGGAGACTCCTCCCACCGAGCGGATTGGATGCTGTGGAGACTCCTCCCACTGAGAGGAGCTGGATGCTGTGGAGACTCCTCCCACTGAGAGGAGCTGGATGCTGTGGAGACTCCTCCCACCGAGGGGGTTGGATGCTTTGGAGACTCCTCCCACTGAGGGAAGCTGGATGTTGTGGAGACTCCCTCCACTGAGAGGAGCTGGATGCTGTGGAGACTCCTCCCACTAAAGGAATGGAGCAGGGGGAACTGGGGAATAGGAACCCTCACCACAAGTTTCCCCCTTCTCCCCCCCCCACCCCCGCATTGCACAGATGAGTGTTCCATCAAGAGTTAGGTCAGTCAGCAGACAGAGGAAGGAAATAGATTTAGCTCTGACTCTGAGCTTCCTGGAGAGCAGCAGACAGAGATGGTGTGGTTGTTTTGGTCATGCAGCCAGTCTCAGAAAAAGCTGGGAGACCAAACCTGCAGCAATGAGAACACAGCAGGGCTCTGGCACTGACTCCGAGGTCATGGATGTCTTTGTAGATTGGAGCCCTTTTTGTACCTCTGGAGAGCAACTGTGGCCCCTTTTTTGACCACCCAGGGACACTTTCCCCTCTTCCAGCTTTCTCCAGTGTATACTTTAATCCTTCAACTCCGATCCCACCCAGGAAGTCACCCTCGCTACCGAGAGAACGGGAAAGGAAGCTCTGCTTCTCTCCCACCATCACCACCCCTAACCTCTGTTGTAGGAAGCAGAGCACCTCTGTCTGAAGACAGTAAAGGGGGCCCCAGGCAGTAATGTTCGAGACTGAGGATTCTTGGCCCACATCCTCAGCCATCTCCCAAGAGTGATGGATGTGAGCTCTTTCACCACTAGGCAAGGAGCCTGTGGAGGTTGAGATTGCTTTCATCTGTTCATGCAGGATGTTCCCATGAACATGTTGGTGGAGGCTGGTGTTGTTGGAGGCTGCTCCTTCCTTCCTGGGTGCCCTGACCCAAAATAACCACACAGAAACTCTATTAACTGCAATACTGTTTGGCCAATAGCTTAAGCATATTTCTGGCTAACTCTTACATCTTAAATTAATCCATTTCTATTAATCTGTGTATTGCCACATGGCTGTGACTTACTGGGCAACATTCCGGCATCTGTCTGCTCTGGTGGCTGGCTACATGGCATCCCACTGACTCTGCCTTCTCTATCTATCTATCTATCTATCTATCTATCTATCTATCTATCTATCTATCTTCCATCCTGGAATCCTGGCTATAGTCTGTTAAGTCATTGGCCAAAAGCAGCTTCTTTATTAACCAATAGAAGCAACACATATATAGAAGGACCTCCCATACTATTCTGGATTTTACAGGAGGTTCTGAAGTCCAGGACACCCAAAGAGCCAAATGTCTGCTTGAATCCCAAGTCCTGAGGAAGCAAAAAAGTAGTCCAGCCAGGGCCTGACCTGCTGATAAGACTCCTGGGATTGCAAACAAGCCAGAGAAGCCTGAATTGTCACCATTCACTTCTATAAAAGACACATTGTGTAGGAATGAGAGAGTCTTGGCGGCCAGTAGGCCGGCTGTGACAGTAAGTGCATGACCATAGCTGGGGCCCCAGGGAAGCCTTCATCCTTCACTCCAAGGGCATCCTGCTCAGGCTTAGTCACACGAGGACCCACAGACCAATGGTACCTGTACAAGAGCAGTGACCGGAGGGGTGCAGGGAAGGACTGAGCCCTGTACAATGTCAGAGTACTAACAGCTCCCTAAGAAACAGGGTGGGTGGGAAGGTGAGCCCAGCCCTGAGCCAGGTGCTCAGGGCCGTCTCCTAGTGGGCACTGATGACTCTCTGAAAGAGGAGGGAGGGGAGGGAAGGAGGGAACAGAAAAATATAGATGGGTGGGAGAGGAGGGAGGGGGGAAAGAGTGGAAGTGAGATGCCGCAGGGCTTAATTGGTGGGAGGAAAACAGTGGCAGGCCGTCAAAGATTGTCGTCTTTGGCTCTTTGGAATCGGAGTCCTGGCTTTTCACGTAGCGAAATCTCACACGAACAGACCTCTTATTCATGTGCTCTGAAAATATTTATCATGTCCTATTGTGTCTTTACTAAGTG